TGTCCCCGATCACCAGCTTAGAGGTCTCGGGTAAATCAAACTGTTTCACCGTTTTTGGCCAAAAAGAAACATGACACATGCCCAGCCTCTTGGAATGGGGACGGGTCCTCAAGCGTCTCCAGGCAGAAGCCCTGTGAGATGCCCAGATCCAACATTACCACTCTCTCTAACAAAGTGCTAAATTGCCATGAAGAACTCACCTTTCAGGAGTTAAATATATTCCCTCTGATCTCATTTGCTTTTTCCCCTAAGTCAAGTCAATTTATCACAAATTCTCTGTTAGTGAAGTCCAAACAAATGAGATTTCTCTTCCTCTTCAATAGCTTCAGGCCAGAGTCAAAAATAAAACCGTGGCTAAGGGTGGGCCCTGCGCAGGAGAAGCTTTGGAACAGAACGCATTAGTGCAAAGCGAAGGCCGAGTTCAACCTTCACAAGTACATTTAACAACCCCCCCCCCAACACAAGCAGAAGGCCGAGCCATCAAGGGAGGACCAAGCTGTCAATGAACAGTGCCTGTTCCAGACTTCTGCTAGTAACTGAAGTCAGCGTTCACCTGACAGACAGAAGTACAGAAGAACAAAGTGCAACGCGCGGAGTGACTGTCAACACGCTTGTGCCCTGCGGCAAGGACTACGGTTCCCTGGGCCGCGTACGGGAAGCCAGGCTCCTCCCGGATCTCCCCAGGCGCCTCCCCCCGCCCCCCCACCCCCCCACCCCCCCCACCCCCAGCCATGAACTAACCGTGAACCTGCCGCCGAGCCTCCACCACACCGGAAACTGGGAGGTGCACAGGGCCATTACTCCAACCCAGGGTGTCTCTATAAATGGGCGAATGCTGAAAACGGACTGCTAGGGTAAGCCGTGAAATAACAAGGGAGCGGAGTGATTTCTGTCAGGCGATTCCCTAAGAACGTCGGGTGTCACCGGCAGAGGAGATATGGCTAATAAAGCACCGAAGACAAATCGTCTGGCCTCTTTAAGAATACATGGCTGGTACTAAGAAAATCTTCGAGAGCCGAGTATTTTGAGAATTATAAAGTGATGTTATAACAAGGTCAGGAGTCTAGGTACATAGGTTTTAAATTACTGCAATAGCCTGTAACACAGTCCTATAAAGGGGCTGAAAGGTACTTCATTACGACACTGGAAAAGCAAACTTCGGGGCTTCCCAGACGACCGGGTGTACCCTGTATGGCTTCCTCAGGTTTGCCGGCCAGGATGGTCAAAGGTGAAAGAATACTTCGTGGGGAATTAGTTAATGGAATAAACCACTGGAAATGAGCCCTCAATTCCTTCAGCGTGACACGCTGCTGCATTAAAGCTAAGGAAAGCAAAACATTTTTTTCCATTTCTCTGCTCAAGTCAGGTGACTCGGGAAAGTCAGACCACCAGTGGTGTATTCATGGAGAGCAAAACAACAAAATAAAACCAATTGCTTTTCATTTAAAGTAAGGTTCTGAAACCCGGTTGCCAAATCCTAAGTTCTATGAATCCGGCAGGCTAACTTGTGTTGTACTTGCCTCGTGACAGCTCACCATAAATCACAATGCTGCCCGGACGGTCAGATTCCTTCCCTCAGGATATAAAGTACTTCCCAACTAAGAAGCCAACACCCCACGACAACCCCACAAGTTCTGTGGGCATCCTTCAAAAATGAAAGCAATGTTGGGGCGCCTGGGTTGCTGCCTCAGTTAAGCCTCCAACTCTTTATCTCAGCTCAGGTCTGGATCTGAGGGTCATGAGTTCAAGCCCCATGTTGGGCTCCACACTGGGTGTGAAACTTATTAAAAATTAAAAATAAAAAAATAAAATATATATATATATATATATATATATATATATATATATATATATATAAAAGCATTGTTGCAAGACACCCTTGATCATGGTAAAAATACCTTTGTACTCAATGGTCCAAAGCGCATTTGTGGGCACCACGCTCAACAGCGAGTTTCTCTTTGTGCCAGTTCCAAAGCAATGGAGGCAGCCAGGGGCTATTTTTTAAAGGAAACTGCTGTACAGACCTTATAGCTTAAGTGTTACCCAAGTGAAAGATGGTGGCTAATCTCACTCCTAGGACAAAGGGGGCACTCGCTCAGTCACTCTACTCTACAACCTTGCTGCTTTGCTGTTTCCCTACAAATGATCCTGTCTTTGCCCCTTTCCTTCTACATTTTTTTAACCACACTTGATGGAGAATAGGGGCAGGCTCATTCCAAGATAGAAACAGTATACCATTTCTGCAACTTTTTTTTTTTTTTTAAGATTTTATTTATTTGACGGGGGGGGGGGGGGGCGAACAGGGGGGGGCACTACGCAGAGGAAAAAGCTCCCTGCTGAACAGACAGGCCGATGTGGGACTTGATCCCAGGATCCTGGGATCATGACCTGAGCTGAAGGCAGACGCTTAACTGACTAAGCCACTCAGGCGCCCCCCATTTCTGCAACTTAAAAACATGTATGTTTTGGGGGCACCTGGGTGGCTTGGTTGTTAAGTGACTGCCTTCAGCTCAGGTCATGGTCCCAGGGTACTGAGATGGAGCCCAACATGGAGCTCTCTGCTCAGTGGGGAGCCTGCTTCTCTCCCTCTCCCTGCTGCTCTACCTACTCGTGATCTGTCAAATGAATAAAATCTTAAAAAAAAAAAAAAAAAGGCAAGAAACAAATGAGAGACTCTTCCTACTACATTAAGTGTATAAGCCAAGGTTCTTCCCTGTGACCCAAATGGTATGAAACTGCACATAACACAGCCCCTGGTCTTGCTCAGGAGCATCTTAGCTGTACGTAAACAGGCACCTGCAGCCTCTGTGGAACGGCCGAAAGAATGAGGCCATGTGAGAAGCAGCTCACTTTCAAACTGTCACCAGTCATTTGGAGCACCTGCCCAGTATGAATGACAATGGGGGGGGGGGTCCATCTGTCACGAATTCTCCAGCACCAGGCTCCTCTCAGCCACCGCTGTAAGATCTCTTGCATTCATGCTTCAAATGCTCTGGGAGAAGACCAGCCGCCCATTACTTCAAAGTACACCTAGGCTACCTCCTCAGAGTAAATGCCACGAGGACACACGGCATGTACCATACACCACCCATAGAATCTCCAAATATGTTCACCCAGGCTTTTCATCATTTGATGTGGTTAACAAAATCGGTTACTCACAGAGAATTCTGAAGGATGCATTTTGGATAACCGCAACCTTCTCTCCTACTGTAGGATTGTGTGATAATACAACTCATTGTTTGCATGTTGTTATCTCAACATTTCTACAATGAACAGGTTATATTAATTCTGTAACAGTTACTAAATGCTTATTGAATTAACACAGCCGAAGGTCACATGTCCAGTACACTATTGCAACACTGTATTGATGGGGCCCCTGGTGGCTCAGATGGTTGAACATCTGACTCTTTTTGGCTCTGGTCGTGATCTCAGGGTGCTGAGAATGAACCCCGCCATCGGGCTCTGCGCTCAGCAGGGAGTCTGCTGGAGAGTCTCTCTCCCTCTGCCCCTCCTGCTGTTTGCGCTTTTTCTAAAATAAATCAATCTTAAAAAACAAAACAAAATTATACTGAAAATTGCTTTCGAAAAAGAGATCCCCTCTATCATCCAGCAGTATCAAAGTGGCCCAATGCTTACTTGCCAGAGTGTACAAAAAGATGTGGTCCCTGCTTTTGATGGAATGGACTAAGGGAGCAAGGTCTGTACATACAAAAATGTTGAAATACCAGGCAGTATATGTTAAAGCCAATGTAAACAGGAGGTGCTCCGTGAAGCTTTGAGTAAGGATGTACTCTCGTGAGCTGGAGTAAGGTCGGAAGACTTTGTGGTCAAGGGGATCCCGAACAGAACCTTGCAGGTTCTAATTAAAACTGAAAAAGCAATTTAGGAAATGGAAAAAGCCCGAGCGGTCTGTGAAATCTGGTAGTCGGCATGATCTGAGCAACAGTAAAGCAAACAGCACTCCGAGTCCAGAATCCAGTTTTCTCCAGGAAATGGTAAGAAGCGCAGTGTTAGGGCTGGGGGGTGTGGAGGGCGCGGGGACAAGGGAATGGGGCAACGAGGAGAGGCTCGGGGCAAAGGCATTTGAGAAAACCAGGTTTATCAAAGTTAACAGGCTTGTCTCTACCGGTGGAATTCTTCAAGCGCCTAGTGGGATAAGGTGCACTGAGCCTCCTCCCCCTGGAGAAGAGATCTTCTTTGACCTTGCCATCCTTTTTCACTGAAGAGATTCATGCACAGCAAAACAACTCAGGACATACCTCTTCGACAGAGAACAGAACCAAAACAATAAAGGGCTTGAATGCCAAAGGCAAATTTCAGTCTGGCCCTGGTCCAATCAGGCCTGGATTTTCCCCAGAACAGAGGAACTGCGGATGTACCCTTAAGTTTCTACACAGAACTCAAACCAGGTACCGCTACCCCCACATATCCATCTACTTGTCAGAGTCCCCCGTGGCCAGCCCCGCCCCATTCTTCGGAGAGCACCTGGACAGTCAGCAGTGGCTTGCGGGTGATCTGCAGGCCTTGGGCACATACCTTCTTGTAAAAGTGATTCAGGGACTTCTATGAGCAGTGGGGCGCACTGGACAATCCCAAGCACAGCATGAGAAACAGAGCAACTGTTTTTAAAGTCTTACGTGGCATAGAGCAGCCTTCTCAAATTAGAGGTGGCAAGGCATGTGTTATAAAAATCAGTTCAGGGGTGCCTGGGTGGCTCAGTGGGTTAAAGCCTCTGCCTTCGGCTCAGGTCATGATCCCGGGGTCCTGGGATCGAGCCCCACATTGGGCTATCTGCTCAGCAGGGAGCCTGCTTTCCTTCCTCTCTCTCTTCCTGCCTCTCTGCCTACTTGTGATCTCTCTGTCAAATAAATAAATAAAATCTTTAAAAAAAAAAAAAAATCAGTTCAGGGGACCAAAACCAGCATTTCTTAAAAAAAAAAAAAAAAGGAAAAAGAAAAAAGAAAAAAAGAAAAGAAAAAACCGAACAGATACATCATAGGTACAAAGAACAAGGAATACTTTATGAAATTTGTCTCTATTACACATACTGGATTGACCTCTGTGTGTTCTGGACTTCAGTCCAAATGTATTTCCTACTTGGATCACAACTAAAAAAGTCTGAAAGTCACTGTTCCAGCAGATGCAGAACTCGGGGCAGAGCCCCAACCCTGCTGCATATCCCAGGTGGGTGAGTAGCAGTGGGAGACAGGCAGTAGAAAGAAAAATCATCAGAAAAGACACTTAAAAACACTGAAGAGGATATGGACAAAGGAAATCAAGGAGAACACTAAGGTTTTTACCCCTGGATCATCTGGGGGGAAAGGTGGCTGTAATCCTAAACAGGCAAATCGTGAAGGAGAGCAAGCAGGTTAACAGGTCCACAAGGGAGGCCAGGAGACACCTTCAGGTTGAGACACATCCGGTTTCAAGAGAAAGAAGACATGCAGATAGAAGTACAAAAACAGCCCTCCCACACCACGAACTCAAAACAGGTCCCCAACCAACATTGCTTTAATTTTAGTCACCTTTTACAACACCATAGTAATTCCCTTTCAGTTAAACAATGTTTTCAATTTATGCTTTGTCCTCAACCAAGTGGTTAGGAGTCTGAAAAGCACATAATCACACTCCAACACCAATGCCATCAGTTAGTCTCTGGCTGTTACATTATTTACCATCCCAAGGGCTTCACTTTGATTTAGCGTTTGATGGAGAAGTACAGACGGGTCCGTCACCCGGCTCTGTGCAGGCGCATATGATGACTGCACCGGCCCACGGACGGGGGAGCCGCAGGACCCCTACTGCACCAGCGCAGGAGAGTCAGGCCGAAGGGTGCCCGTCAGCTGCCACCCTGTCTGTGCCCACCCTGCGAAGCTACACAGTTGGCTCAAGGCCCCTGCTGATCCAGCAAGAGGGCACGAGAGAAATGGCAGAACTCCAACAGATCACTTTAGCCAGGACTGAATCCCCAACGTACACAAAAACAGACGTAATTAAACGAGGCCGTGTGGACTTAAAGGTAAAATGTCATCCCTACCAGGCCCTTGATGAAACGAGTTTTGCTTTACAGAAGCCTTTTTATGAAGTAAATTACATTAATTACCAACATTTAAAAACATCCAACATTTAAGGGTTCTGAATCTCTGATTTATTAGACAGCACAACAATAACAGGGTTAGATTATTTTACAAAAAGAGCTCAAGCTGCTCCGAAACAGCAACTGGGCTTTCTGGGGGTAAAAACAATTCTTCGGACTATCACCCAAGGACACAAAGACTCCTCATCCTACACAAAGTCAGCATGGAAGGGCACACGAACAAGTTTTTTTAAGACAGAAAACAGAGAAATCCACATACTAAATAAGGTGTCCACAATGACTACAACGCATCCCTTAGGGGATGAGTATGTATTTGTAGGAAGCAAAACAAAGCTTGCCATAGAGAAACCACTTTCACGAGATGATTAGGTGGACCTGCAATGAAGAAAATACATTTCAAAAGATGGGTTCACACTTAACACGAAGTTTTCACTGAAATGCTTACAAAATAAAAGCAAGACTTTCTCTGTATCAAAAGAATAAAAAAAAAAAAAGTCATTGTGTAAATTTCAGTAAGGGTCCAAGGCCCATTCAAAAACACACATTTGCAAATAATATAAATAAAACACCGAAGTCTGACCACAAAAATACTATTTGGAACTCGCTAGAATAGACCAAGCTAAGTTCGTGTTCTGCTTCAGGGCATTACATTAAAGTGAATCTCATTCTCACTATAATTTTTTCTTTTTAACCTTAATCACCAGCGGCTGGGCAACTGCAATGGACATGAGAACTATATAAATGTCAGAGAAATATGTAAACCTCGTTAATGTTTCCAAAAATTCATTTAGAGACAGAAACAGGTCCAAAAAGATGCCTGTCGAAATGTACTACAATTACGCTACAATCATTTTTCCAAATACACAGATATGCTCTGTCTTTTCTCAGCTCATTACTGACTCAAACAATTTGCCCTTCTGGGATCAATTGTTTGCTAATAAATAATTGTTTACAGTCACAAAATGAAGTTAGGAGGTTTTCTTATTAGTTTTCCTTCTGCACCCTAATAAGATTGAAAACTAGCTGATTCCCAGGAGTCTAACTTAACCTTGCTTTGTGGAACAGCCCAGGAAACGATGACCCATCTGCTTCGGAACATAATGGGCGGCCAAGAGGAAATACTGTTTAATTGTAGATTAACCTCCTCATGAGGCGGTCTGAAGCAGCTTTCGAATTAGCAACTACAACCAGCAAAAGAAACAAATGGCTCAAGAGCCTGTTCCTCCACCATTTAAGGTCCAGAAAGAATGCAAAAGGATTTTTATTACCTATATTTATTTACAAACATGTATTTCCACAGTGGAAACAAAAATTACCAAGGTCAAAACTGATTCTCAAAAGTGCGGTCACTGCCCTCCAATTTCGTTTGCCCAGGATACCTTTAATGCAACAAACCATCAACCATCTCATGCACTTAAGAGTGTTCATTTAAAAAAAAAAAAAATCAATAAAAACCTCTTTTCCATTATTTTCAGGTTCTTATAATATTAAAATTAATATATTTCCCTGGTTTCTTTGTTAATAGTAATAAATCCACCATTGGGGAGTACGAATTGTTTTATTATCATCAACATGGCACTTAAGTAAATGAAATCTTGTCAAGTACATGGTGACCTACAAGTTCAAAAGAAAAAAGAACAGCATGAGATCAAAATGGCTGGCCAGGACAGGAAACACAAAAGTGAGAGATTATAAGCAAACACAGCCCTTTATCCAACAGGCTTCACATGCTAAGTCTTTGCTAAAATCAAACCTGTAAAAGTATGCATGTAATTGAATATTTACTACTCTGCCCCCTTTTAGGGACTCAACCAATTTAGCAAGGATGTTAAACCATTTTAACTCAGACAAGTAGAAGAATCCTGAAAACGTTCAGTTATTCCGTATTTACTGAGGCCTAGGTAGAGAGGGACAGAGAACAGGGACAAAGACCCCCAGGGGGTAGGTATTTTACGGTTTAACAAGAGCCTAAGTATCAGTTTTCCCTCAGACCTGGTGCAGGTAATTAAGTAAAGAGCTTTGCCCTGTTGGTACCAAAAAAATGTAAATCGTCTGTCCCTGTCAACAGTTACAACCAAAAGCCAAAGGCAGCTATGAAAATTTCAAAACTACGGAAATTTGCTATTCCAGGCAAGGCCATATTACTCTGGGTTTTCAGTAAGACCTGAAGGTCATTCGCTTTGTGTAAATATTAAAGAAACAACCTCTGTGGAGAGGAAAGATTTTTGGCAGTTCAAATTCTTAAATATCTTAAATAGAATTTGCTAAAATAAATTATTCTTGAATTCCTCAACTTAATTTTGAAGCAATGAGCTGGTAATAACTCCAGAGATTCATATAATAGTGCCTATTCAAGAAGAATGAGAGTTTGACATTCTTCTCTACCAAACAACTAGGCACAATTTTATCCATCAGACGTCTATCAACCTACGGATATTGAAAGCTTGGGAGAACAAGATAAAATCAACTCCAACCCTACAGTCAGCTGTAATATCGAGCAGGCATCAACAATGCTATTCATGAATTTAGAAAAATTAATAAATCCTGGGTTGAATGCGAGAAAAGGCTCAAATACAGGTGAAGCATACTCACTTGGGTTTTGTTTCTGCATCTGTCACTTGGCGAATGAAGATACCATCTTCGGGATGTTCTGTGTCATCCATTTCATACATATACGACGATGCTATTGCGAGCGTGGTCCCGTCGTTACTGAAGGCCAGGGACGCAATGCTGGTGGGGTACCGGTGGAACTGGCACAGCCGCTTCTTGTTAAATGGGTCCCAAATGTTTACAAATCCATCAGAGCCACCTGCAAGTCATTTCAAAAGAGGTAAAATGGTTCTTAAAACCAGGTACAGGAGGGCCTGGGTGGCTCAGTGGGTTAAGCCTTTGCCTTCGGCTCAGGTCATGATCTCAGGGTCCTGGAACTGAGCCCTGCATCAGGCTCTCTGCTCAGCAGGGAGCCTGTGCTTCCCCCTCTCTCTCTGTGCCTGCCTCTCTACTTGTGATCACTGTCTATCAAATAAATAAATAAAATCCTTAAAAAAAAAAAAACCCACGTACAGAAAAAAACTATTACCCTTCATGGTTAATTTCTAAGGTCACAGAAGTTACATTTTCCCCAGAAGATCATGTAAAATTTTTACTCCCTAAGTATCAGAAAAAGCAAGCCTAATTTTTTTTTTTCAAAACTCTAAGTTTAACTGTCTAGTGTTCAATTACAGCAAAACTGTCGGGTCGCTGGGTGGCTCAGTCAGTTGGGCGTCTGACTCCGGATTTTGGCTCAGGTCATGATCTCAGGGTTGGGAGACTGAGCCCCGTGGTGGGCTCTGCGCTCAGTGTGGAGTCTGCTTAGGATTCTCTCCCGCCACCCTCCCCTCCCTCTACCCCTCATCCCCTTCTCTCTCTACAATTAATTTAATGGAAATAAAATAAAGCAAAATCATTATCGCAATGATGGGACGTAGGCACACATGACACACTGTATACCTGTAGCAAATGTGTTGTGGATGTTGTGAAAAGAAATGGCATTGACCGGGTAGATCTGCTCGATGTTGTTCTCCTTCAGTCTGTGACACTTGAAGGCGTACTTCTTCTTCTGCACCTCAGGGCTTGGGTCCAAGTACTCAACTGCCACTCGGCCTTCTATGGAGCTTAATACATAGCCCTGCCAAGAAGGAACCAGAGAAGGACAAACCTGGTGACTCCAGCTCCCAAAAACAAGGCACTAATTCCCAACTTCAATCTGCATTAAAAAGGATTATTTCAGAAATGAAAGCTAAGTACGGCCAGGTTTTAACCAGGTACAGGTTTTAAACTACACTAACATAGCTATGACTGGTCCAAGAGTTTAACATTTATACCCGTTCTATAAAAAAAGAAAAATAAGGCTAACACATCTAGTAATTCTGTCACATCTAGACAAGAATTTTCAACTGCTTCAGTATCATTTGTTTGTTGTCTTGTCCAGACGGGGCTCAAACTTGTTCCATCACTTGGATATAATCTGCTGTGCTCTGTGCCTCTACACCTCCAACAACTCTTAAGAACTGTGTGTCCTGGGGCGCGGCTGGGTGGCTCAGTTGTTAAGCATCTGCCTTCAGCTCAGGTCATGATCCCAGGGTCCTAGGACTGAGCCCCCATCGGGCTCCCTGCTCGGCGGGAAGCCTGCTTCTCCCTCTCCCACTCCCCCTGCTTGTGTTCCCTCTCTCGCTATATCTCTCTGCGTCAAATAAATAAATAAAATCTTAAAAAAAGAAAAAAAAAAAACAAACAGAACTGTGTGCCCTTCAAAGAGTGGGGAGGGGTTATCAACGATCCAAATCAACTAGAACACCAGCCTTCTGCCTCAGTCATTCTGCCTCTTGCATGTAACTACAGCAAGCTGAGTTCACACACAAACACCACAGATTTTCAATGATGTTCAAAGTGGTTTACTGTTTCAAACCGTTCTCACCTTCCCTTGAAATGACAATATGTCAGAGAAACTAAGAGATACGATAAATATGAACCCTATATTTTATTTATTTTTTAAATTCTGAAGGTATGAAGAAGAATTATTCCTCAAAAACTACTTAGGGAGAAAAAAACACATCAGTGAAATCTTAAGCTTCCATCACCAACTAGAAACATGTTCTAACAAGGTTTCAGACTTAAGACATAAAAATAATATTTATAAATGCAAGGATATCTTATAATCACATAGTCAAATCTTTAAGTCACATAATTGCAATGTCTTATCTTCAATGGAAATTCAAAATTTCCTGAGAAAAAGAACTGTGATCACCATTTGAGGTACCAGCCCTTTGAGATAAAGGGCCAAGAGAGTAACTGACATAACTGCATCCAGCTCGTCAACCACTGAAGAGCATAAGATTTCAAAGATATCTGTTGTTTTTAATGACGTCTCCTCTCATAAAATTCTTACAGTAGCTGATCCCACCACCAACTCTCCTTCAAACTTCTAAGGATTTCAGGGGAAAGGGGCTCACTAATAAACAGGGCAGTCTTGTTCAGTACTGATGACCAGGAGGGGAACCCACCCTGTGTTTTAAGAGGTAGTCATTACATAAGGATTATCATCTTCTCTTAAAAAAAAAAAAAAAAAAAAATCCAAGTTCTGCTGTCAGACCAGCTGAAGAACTCTATTAGTATCAGAGTTACAAAGAGGCCAAAAAAAAAAAGAGAACAGCAAATTCCATAACCCTGTATATTGCCAGATTTAAATCTGAGTTCACTGGTTTGGTAAATTGAAATACGTGCAAACTGCTCCCTGATTACCATCCACCTGTCAAGCATCCTGGACCAAGGGAATCGGAAGGCCCCCAGTCAAACCACTGGTAGATTACTTAACCCCTCTGAACATCGAGATCTTCTCTGAAACTGGGTTAACACACTGCTCTGTAACACAGGGTTGTTGGAAATGTAACTACAGCAAATTCTAAATCAGTCCTCAAAACATTTTTGTAAAAGCAAAGCTTTAAAAGGCAGTGACCAATGAGACGAGATCCTCTTATTTTCAAATTCGCAAACGGGGGGGGTGGGGGTGGGGGTGGGGTGGGGACAGGTCAGTACCTGCTTGTTGGGAAATGCCCGGATGCAGCGAGTCTGGTACTTGAGGCTCGACTCCCGGCGCTGCTGCACGTAGCCCATGTTCCGTAAGTCCCACACCAGCACTCTGCGGCCTGCAGTGCCCACAATCAGCCGGTCTCCAGACACTGAGAGGGTGTACACCTTTCAAGAAAGACCAAAACTTACTAAAATCCACCCACTTGCCTGAACAGGCCATTCTGTCCCCCAAAGAAGTCCACTAATTGTGAAACCTTAAAAAAGTTAGCTGATCAGGTTCGCAAACACAGCTATTAAATTTTAAATGCTACAGTTACATAAACCAAGTAATGTGCACAAAACCATCAACCCGAAATATTCTTACTACTTAGCCATGGATCATATAATGTACATTATAATTAATTCCGCAAAAACACTTTTGAAAACTTAATTCTCTTGGTTACTAAAACAAATTCAATTATTAAGCTATTTTTCCAGCCTTCTTGCTTCATTTAGTTAACAACACGAAAGTGTAAAAACTACTCAAAGAGGAGATAATAAAGCCATAATAACAATTCAAGATACCTCTCAACAGGTTTCTAGCTTTTCACAAAATAATAATTTTCCAAGTTATTTTTCTATGACTGCCCTTTAAAAAAAGATTTCCCATTGTAACTCTAAAAATCTTGATTTTCTAGCTGTCACAGTGAATAAATAGGCCTTTCCAAGAAGAATGAAGGAGCCATCATTAATTAGCTGCTTAGTTGCTGTTGGTGGCACATGTACTCAAAATTAAAAGACAAGGACAGTGGTCTGGCATGTGACAAAACATTCTTGTTCCCTGACATCCTACTAAACACTCAAGACAAAGTTCATCTTTAGCGAAAATTTAAAAAGCATTTTCTCCTTTAAATGCATTTATTTTCCCCATATAATACCCTTTTTACAGTATTTTTTTAAATCTCCATAAAATTCCTTTACAATAAATCACAGAATTTCCTGCAAGTATTTCAAGTGGTTTGCTTTCAAATTATGTCAAATGCAAATAGCGAATTCATGAAAATGGTGACAAAATATATTTTCCTGATAATGTTAAATAATTTTTTTTTTAAATCTAGACTTCAGGCATAAAATTGTACTCTGGTTGTTACTTTCAACTAAGAACCAACTCTAATTTAATCTCATTTAATATTTTAAAACCTGAAGAATCACTATTAAAAAATGAAGAGAGCCCATGGCCTGCTAAGACATCTCTTTAACATTCAGTCACTAAACCACAAGGTTAATAATTACTAATGTGTTAACTCTATACCACCACCCCAAAATACCAAGTTAGGTTTAACAATACAACAATCCAAGAGTCTCAGATTTCTGAGTCATGTTCTCTAAAATTCAACAACTAATTTGACTAAGGGAAATACGAGGAATTAAGAAGACTCAAAACAGTAGATTACCATAAGCAGATATAAGTAAGAGAAAGGCAAGATCTACTGCACTTTATTCAGGAAAACACAGTGTTTGCAGAAAAACAGAAATTAACCTGCGACAGTGAGATGGCAAACTTAAAAAACACAGAATCCAGAAAGAGAGCGATTTATAACAGTATAATCAGATTGGGAATTTTATCTTAAATCTTTACTATACAGGTGACACCCAAGCTTCTAACAGGGCTTTCTATCCCCACTGATCGTAAATCATGTGAAACCACTGTCATGCCAGTGACTAGGTGTATACATTTATCAAAGAAAGTATTAAAAAAAGTGACATAATGAACCTTGCTGAACCAATAAGCAGCTTGATTCAGTGTGGCTGTCCATTATACGATATTCTGTCAGCAATTTATCACAGCTCTTAACATGTTACATAAAACCATAAATCAAAACTAGAAACAATGCAATTATTTTATTCTGAACAAAGGTCTTGCCAGGAGTAGATTCGACTGTGATGTGACAGAAATAATGGCTCTTTGGATGCACTACAGTATATAATGATGGCTAACAGGAACTGAATAGTATATTTACACTAAGGAAATAGACTGGAGTGAAGGATTCCTTTAAACTGCTAAGACAATCAATCTTTAAAATTAACTACCACCTGATAAAGTCTGATGAGGATCCAGCAACAAAGCTCAATTACACTTTCATTGGACAGATCAAAAGGTCAGAACAACACAAAGTTTGGGTTTTAAAAAGCTTTCTTCAGGAGAGCCTTCAAACACCATCTGCCAACATTAAAAATAAATTAATAAATGGCAAAACCCAGGGAATACAGAATCCCTTTCTCACTAACTTCAAGTGATAACCCACTCCACCCTCTTAACTGTCCACTCAAATGAAACCTCAGGTGGTAAGTGAAAATGAGTGATGCTCTGTCCCATTTCCTGGTCTGGGCACGTCAAACCCCGTTTAAAGAAATCCAACAGCCTTTGCTAAATGACTTCTCCGAAAAGGCACAGAGTTGCTTCTCCGTCCTGGGATTTAAAGCATTTACAATACAGTACAATACAATACAGAGCAGTGGGTTTATTTAAAAGCGACTACCATCCAGTACGGAGATGACAACAAACAGAAAAAAAAGTTGACCCAAATACCAAAATCCAATCCCTCTCTTCAAAAAAACCAACTTCTTAAAACTCATCTCTAGGCCTCATCCATGTGGGGCTCAAACTCATAATCCCAAGATCAAGAGTCATGTTCTCTACCGACTGAGCCAGCCGGGCACCCCTTATCAACTCTTAATTAACCTTCAAATTCAACACCATACTCACCAACTGTGTATCAAATCAAATCACCCCAAAGATTAAAATTCCTATTATGAATGTCAAGAGCCTACCTTTTCGGGCTGAGAGAAGGTCCCTGCGTTACAAGGAGTTCTGGGATCCCACAGTTTAACTGTCTGATCCCAACTCCCTGTCACCATCACATTCACTTCTGGGCAATATTCAACACATCTGATAGGGGCATCATGGGTTCCGACGAGATTTTCTACAAGAGGGAAAAGAAAAAAAAAAAAAATCACCCAGCTTCATTACCTCCACTAAACAAAGATTCCTCAAGTGAACAATAGAAGGAAACACTCATTAAACTGTAATGAATCCGCTTCCACCAACTCAATGAAAATGCCTGCATACAAAAAAATTTCTCCATGACTACAAACCGTCACCCATCCCTCTCTGTTCACCTTATAACACATAGTTTGATTCACTAACATGGGTCCTACCAAAGGCTGACCTGAATTTCACATTATATTAAATTGGTGGCATATCTGGGTTTTTTTCCTTACAATGATTCTAGATTCCTTAAAATAAGAAGCCTTATTCAACTCTATACTTCTGACTTTATCTACCGCAGGTTCTGATACATTGTAGGTACTCAAATACCTCCTGAATGAAACAATGGGTCTGGTCTTCTGGATCTGGATAAAATTTATTGCATTAAAGCCAATGTTTATAAGAAACTTGTTTACGTGGTCTAACAGGATATCTGAAAGCTGGGGGATAAAGGAAGGCAGAAAAGTCTCATGACAAGTTCACTTGGTTTTCACAGTGGGTCAGATTTCCAAAAGGCAATTTCTTTCCTTTCAATTTCAACTCTTCACACTATCTCGTCCATTCATTCAACGAACATTTCCTAAATGTCTTGTATGTGCCAAATCTATGTCATGTGCTAAGGGTATGACAAAGAACAGTATGTGGTCCTGATACTCAAACAGGAAAACTACCTATTTAAAAAATATATCATTTAAGGGGCACCTGGGTGGCTCAGTCATTACATGTCTACCTTCAGCTCAGATCATGATCCCAGGGCCCCGGGATGGAGACCCACATGGGGCTCACTGCTCAGTGGGAAGCCTGCCTCTCCCTCTCCCAGTCCCCCTGCTTGTGTTCCCTCTATATCACTTAAACAAGAAAAAGAGGACCTCATGTAGTTCAACAATGACCATCTGAGAGTAAACAGCTAATTCCCTTAACTATGGTCTCCATATCAAAAATCTTTGTATTTCCGTGTTTTTTTTCCTCCTAAATTTTCCAACAAATAGGACCCAAACCCACAAGCTAACTTACTATATGAAATAAGCTAACAAAACCAAATAGTTATGCAGTTCTAAATTACATGACAAAGTGACTTTCCTGAAATCACCTCTTCTGAGTTATTTTTTGACAAAATATTGTGTTCATCTTCTGTCCATCCTCCCACTGTCCAGCTCATCCTCAGCTAGTCCTATCTTCGTGCCTTGCCAACTGCTTCAAGCACATCTATACCTAATGTATGCATATACAGAAAAAATCTTTTTAATGCTCCAAGAGATTCTATTCATTTGAGTTCCATTCCCTTTCTGCTCTGCTCCAAAGTCAACATAAAAAATTGGTTAAGACATTTCCTATCCGGGCCTCGAAGAAATTAAGTGGGAAAAAAAAAAAAAGTGTCATCTTCTTATTCATTCAATAAATGCAACTGAAGCATATTCTACGCTAAATCATCACACAAAAAGAATTAATACAGCAGTTGGACAGGACTGGCTATTTTATAACATCAAATTTTTAAAAACCTATCATCCTTCAGTCTGAACTAAATAAGCTTCTGAAAAGAGAACACTCAGACATCAGCACTGTCCTGGAAAATTTTAATGAGCAGTAGATTACTATGGCATCCAGCCCACTTCTGAGGACAGGTAAAGGTCAAACACTTAAGGGTAACTTCAGGTAAACACCTGGAGTGGTGATCTACATGGAAATGAATTTACTGAAAAAGTACATGGACAGTATTTTGTGCTCAGTAATTTAACGGTTATCATTTAAACAAAAAGTCCTAAACTTAAGCCACTTTTATTTGTAAACAACTCGGAAACTAAGCAATTCAGGAACCACTCTTCTTAAATAAACATTTACACTTCAGTACCTTAGCTGAGAAAACCATAAACTGGTAAAAATGTGGCATATTACCTTGATCAGTGTTCAAATCATGCATTTTCAATTGATGGTCTAATCCTCCACTCCAAGCATGTGTTGGATCCTACAAAAAAAAAGTTTCAAGTCATTCAAAAGTTACAGACGTTTATAAAGAATTTCAAAATTCCTGTTTCTACAGCCAACTGTTCACTTTATGCTCAGGATGATGTACACTGGGCTCTCACACACACACACGCACACAAAATACAGCAAATAACTGGTCACCAAAATTAACATCAGCAAATTAAGGAAGGATTATTCACCACACTGGCTGAGAGCACATAGGTATTCCTATGTCCTAGCTTTTAAAACAAAACAAAACAAAACAAAAAAACCCTTCCTTTTGATAAGGGCAACCAAATTTTGCCGTCTTGTTGCAAATTTCAAATACAAATGTCATATACCCACAAAGTTTGCAAGGTTACTCTTTTTGACATCTAGACATCTGCATAACCCCAGCCCCCCCCCCAAAAAAAACTGTATTTGTCTCAAGACCAGTGTTCGGGAAAATGTGAAGTGCTATCCAAACCACCACCGACAGAAGCTTTTCTGCCCGACACTAGTGGAAGGACGCTCCCAACACAGGACATCCCGAAACAAAGCGGGCAGGTGCGCGAACTGAGGACACCTACGTAGAAGGCACAGTCCAGGACGGCTCCGGTGTGCTGGTACTTGAGCCGCATGGAGTTGGCAGGCACGTCGTAGAGGCGCACCGACGTGTCCCAGGACGAGACCAGGAGGAACTGGGAGGTGTTGGGGCTGAACTTCACCGAGGAAATGCCGTCCTCGGGTGGCTGGTTCAGTTTGAACTCGTTAGACCCGGTCATCTACGGAACAAGCGACCAGTCAGTCATTCCCCAAGGGTCCAAGATGGAGTGTTGGGCTGACGGCAGGCCGAGCATTCGGGGGGGGGGGGGGGGGTTTCGGGGGGGGGGGGGGCCTTGGGGGGGGGGGGGGGGGGGGGGGGGGTGCGGGGGGGGGGGGTGCGTTAGGGGGGGGGGGGGGGGGGAACTGTCTTACGGGGGAGGGACCTAGAGTAAGTCGGCGACCGGGAGTCTGCGCCTGCGCAGCATCAGCGCGCCCGCCGCAATCAGGACTCACCCCCCCACCCACCGCCGCCCCTTCCAGGCGCCCCAATTTGCCCCGCCCGCTCCGAGGCACCCCTAACCCTCCGCGGACTCCCGCACCCCGGCCCCTCCGCCGGGCCTACCGCCCTGGACGCTCCTAAAATAAAGCAAGAGGGATGGAAGCCAAACGGGTTCCCCTGGATGGCACTGCCGGCTCCGGACCTGGGATGTCCCCCAAGAATCCGCCCCAGCGTCCCGTTGCCTCGTCCCTGCTACCTTGGACTCCCCCTCGAAGCAACTTAGCCGCTGCTGGCCGCCGCCACCACCTCCTCGCTTTCCTCCGAGTACTCGCGGGCTGGGCGAGAAGAGGCGGAGAGGAAGCTCCAGCGTGTGACTGCCATTGGCTAATTTCAAACGCCAACGTCTCGTTCGAGGCAACCAATTGGTCCGCTCGGAGGCCCGGCGCTGGTCAACCCAGCCATCTTGTTCCGGCTCAAAGGCAAACCGCGGCTTTTCCGATCACGTGGGCTTCCTTTAGCACACGCCTAAGGCTCCGGTCCTCGTGAGGGCCGAGTGGAAACTACAATTCCCGAAGTGCCCCGCGCCCAGGCTGAGCCCACGCTCTCTCCCGCCCTTTTGCGGCACGCTGGGAAATGTAGTTTCCCTGGAGCCGACGCCCGGCTGCTCATCTGAATAGTAGGCGGGAAAGATGCTCTTTCCCATTTGACCCGTGGCTCACTTCCCACCTCAGTCTCTCAGACTCAAGAACCCCGTTTTGGTCAATACTAAATTTCTCCCTTTCACTGGACATGCACACGCCCATGAAGTTAACCAAAAACTGGAGTGGAAATATTTGCTCTAATCAATTGCATTACTTTGCTCTGATTTATTCTCATTTTCCTGGTGTTTCCACCCCTGAACCAAGATCTCACATTTTCCATTGTCTTAAGATCTATTGATATCATAAAAAGCCATCCTTATTTATACTATGCTTTCTCCCTCCGTTCCATCTTTCTTCAAACATTTATGGAGCACCTACTGAATACCAGGCCTGGTGAGAGCCTCTGGGAAGATGCATTAATCGGACAGCCCTTGCTCTTAAGGGAGCTCCCTGTCCAGAAGGGTGGACAGACTGGAAAACAATTACTCTGCAGTGTGTTCAAGCTCAAAACTTCTGTATGTTTAAGCAGGGTCCTAAAATGACAGCTACAAGCTTCTCCCCATTTACCTCCCTACCCCCCAAAACTCCCTAGAATTGCAGGCTCAGTTTGCTCCCATTATCTGTTTCTAGACTCCTCCAGAAATAGGAGAATCAAGAAGTTGCTTCTGGAACTTACTTGATCTCCATGAAAGAAAAGTAATTCTTAATTTATAACTAGAATGCTGTGGCTCAGTTACTCTTGAATATAAAAAAACTCATTGACAATTTTCAATTTAATCCACACTGTAACCTCTTTTTCACTGCCTCTTGCCAGGGGGGCGGGGGGGGGGTGTCGGAATCTTATGATGTGATTTTGTATGAAGTGGGAAGAAATTTTTGGAATTAAAGGGTTTAACTTTAAAGGTATGTTAATAAAGGGAAGTGTTGTTGGTCTTTACCCCCTCAGGTGCACTTCTCTTTAGGATTCTTGACACAATGAGCGTGCACACAGTAATCACCCTTCTGCCCACTGTGTTGATATCACTGCTAAAAGAACAGATCCTTGCCCTCCCTCAATGCCAATCCTCGTACTCGGTTCTCTACACTTTCTCTTTCAACAAGTTAAAGGTGAAGTTAAGAATTTTAAAAAGCAGTGCCTTGCCGTTCTAACTTCGGCTAAATAATTTTATCTCCAAATAATTCTATTTGGTTCCCTCTCCCAGTTGTTTATTTAATTCTATTAGAGTTTCAAGATACCGAACATGAATTATCTGCTAATAAAATCTAACAGTATTTCATTATACAGTGTGTGTATGATTCAGGTCCCTCTGGGCACACAGTTGCAGCCGGACTCTATTTGAGTTTTAAGAAACGTCAATCTTTAAAATCCAGTTTACAGCCTAAAAAGGAGGCTGATGATTTTGCTGATTATTCAAATGAATTGATAGCCTTGAGATAGGAGATCTGGCCACAATGGAATCTTGAACATTTTAAATCCAAATGCAAAGTTGTGTGTGTGTGTGTGTGTGTGTGTGTGTGTGTACACTCAGTTACCTGTAGGAGCAGGGAATTCCTAGAAACTAATTACACTGTTGGATCACCTTTGGCTGCTAATTTCTGAATTAGTAAAAGGGTTGAAATATCCACTATATGATAAACCAGAAAAGGGTCATCCCTGAAATCTTAAGGGCGAAATCACTCTGCCATTAAGAGCCTAGAGTGGCTGGAGAAAACCACTTTCTATAAGAGAAGTAAGCGTAAGGAGGATATAGTGACCCAATACTGTTAAAACCATCATCTCTTGACAAAAACAATCTATTGAAATGCAGACAATAATGAGATGGATGGGATATTCTTATACAAGTAGTTCCTTGAGCAAACTGGTTGTTTCTGCATGGAATATTCAAATAACAACTTTAAAGGACAAGAATAATTTAAAGTGGGTCATCTGGAAAGAAAAAATGCTTTGGGAATAAAATACATGTACCAAATAAGTCAGAAGAAAACAGATCCAGTATCACTTTTGTTTTCTCTCTTTGTCTATACAATACTTAGCCTAGTTTTCAGCAACTTCTAGGGCTCAGTATACATTTACTGAATTGAACTTGCTGGAATGAAATAAGTGGGCTAGAACTAACTTAACATCTGCAGATGTGTTCTTGTATAACATCCCTCTGAAGTCATCTTGAAAGAGATTGTAATTTTCATGAAATCTTATGTGAGAAAACAACGACCTCAAAATGGACAGGAGGCCAAGCAGTTCAGACAGAACACTGCGGGTCCCACAGACGGTTTACAGAGAGCCTCTGCATTTCCATAAAATGCTGATAATTTCGATGCCTCTCGGCTCAGAGACAAGTCCATCACGCAAGTGTTTTCCTTCTAGAGCATAAGGTCCGACCTCCTCACTGCGCATTCCCAGCACCCTTGCACGGGCTAAGGGAACCTCGGAACCGGAGGCGGCAGGACCAGGGGGGTTCTCCCCACGTGACACGGGACCGTCGTCCTCCTCTCAGTTCCAGCCACCTTTTCCGACGTTTTACTCGGAACAGGCGGCTGCGATCAAACATTGCAAAACTCTGTGATTTGCATGACACTCGCGCTGCTGTACTCTGGGTGCCGCGCCCTCCCAGGGGCAGGTGTTAGGGCGCGGAAGCCTGTGGGCACGCAGGCCCCCGCCGAGGTTCCTTTCAGCGCGACTGGCCACGTGCTTGCCCTTGACCCCGCCATTCAGCCACGCACAATGCAAAATATACAACAACAACAACAACAGTGTGCGCGGAAGTGCCTTTGCAGTCCCCGCTTTCTTCGCTTTGCCTAGTCTCCAGCCTCAAGATCCCTCCTCAGCCGAAGAGCCGCCTCTCTGCGTCCAGCTCCCGCGCGGCGTCGCACGCACAACTGTGCCACCCACTCGGGAACTGTGCGCGGCTGCAAGCCTGTCGCGCCGGGTTGGGGGACGAGCAAAGCGGGCTCTGCACTTGGTACAGGCACGGCCTTTCCACCTGACCTTCGCCCTTGGAAGGAGGCGCGCAGCCCAGGCTGGGCCAGGTCGCCCGGCGCCCTGCTGCGGCTAAGCCCACGGCGCTGCCAGTGCGGGGAAGATGCTCGTTCCGGGAAGGCAGCGCTTCAGCTGTGAGGCTCCCCGCCTTTGTCCCTCTCCGCCCGGGCTCCGGAGCTGGATTCCGGCCCAGGTGCGCCTCAGCGTGCTGCAGGTCTATGGGCACCAGGGAGTGGAAGCGGGCGCAGCTCTAGTCCGCGTGCGGCCCCCGCCTTTAACCCCTGACCGCAGTCCTACCCGCCACGTGGGGCGAGCAAGCCCTCTACTGCCGCGCGCCTCCACCGAAAATCGAGTAAAGCCGCGCATTAGCTCGCTGGGCAATCAATCTCACCAAAATTAGCAACGATGCTTAAAATGTTTTATTATTTTTTTTTCCCTCTTTAAAAATATTTACAGATCTGAGGTCTCCTCCTGCCCATCCTCGGGACGAGGAAAACAAAAAGAGGCGTTGAGATCATTGTCCGAAGCCCCCGCTGGCTTGGCCGGCTGTGTGTGCATGTACGTCCATACAGGTGTATGTATGGGGAGAGGAGTGTACCTGGTTCTGTTGGTGTTTTTCTGATTTTTTTTTTCCCCTACCAATCAGTGTAGATCTGGCCGGAACTCCCTTTCCCACCGCCACCCGAGAACATCCCCTCCAAAATGGTTTTCAAAGCGTATTGGTTTGTTTTGGCTAGAAAGCAGGCGTTCTGGCTTGAGAGATGCCGATAAATAACCCGAAACAATCAAAACAAAAAGTAGGGCAGAGGCCATAAATAAGAGATAATGAATACACATGGTGTATTTCTTAATATTCCTGGCAACGCACCGGCCCGCGCCGGAGCCCCGGGGAGGGAGGGGGGAGGGGGCGCCGCTGGAGGCGGCCGGGAGAGCGCGGCGCGGGCCGGCGGCCGCTCAGTAGTCGAGCTTGTTGTAGAGGTTGTAGAGAGGTAAGGCCGAGAGGTTGCTGCCGGGGTAGTAGAGCGGCGCGGGGAAGGCGAGCGAGCGCGGCACCGGCACGCGCAGCAGCGAGCTGTCCCGGAACACCAGCGGCATTCCCACCAGAGTCTGCGCCGAGGCGTGCGCCATGTTGGCCGCCTCCAGCTCGGCCGAGAGCTGCCGCTTCCACTTGTTGCGGCGGTTCTGGAACCAAGTCTTGACCTGGGTCTCGGTGAGCTGCAGGCTGGAGGCGAGGCAGGCGCGCTCCGAGCTGCTCAGGTAGCGCTTCATGTCGAAGGTGGACTCGAGCTGGTACACCTGGCTGCGCGAGAAGACCGTGCGCGTCTTCTTCTTGGCGCCCGCCTGCCGCTCGGCGCCGCCGTCCCGCGGCCGCTCGGGCCCCGGCGACGGCGAGCCCGCGGGCAGCACCCGCTCTTTTTCTTCCTTAAAGTCCGGGTGTGACGGGGAGAGGAAAGGCGTGCGCTCCGAGCTCGCCGGCCCCGCGCCTCCGCTGCCCTTGGGGGTACCTGGGGAGGGAGAACAGACAGGGAGGGATGGAGTCGGGGAGCCTCCGAGACCCCCAGTCCTGGCCGAGGCCAGGGGGATGGCAGGGGGCTGCAGCCTTGGTCCCAACGCCTTCCTCTTCTCCCTCTCGCTGGAACCCGAAGCCCAGCACCTTAGCTTTGAAAAGGCAGCGGGACCCAGCTACTTCGAGAGTATGGGGTCTCTGTGCCCCCCAACCAGCTTCGGAGAAAGGACATGTGGCAACGGGGAGCAAGTCTGGACGGGGGGAGGGGGGCACTAGCATCATTTTAAAAGGTGATTTTGCCTTGTAATAACTGAGCTGGAAGAGTTCCCCGAGCTTTATCGG